TTCCCCCCCCCCCCCCGTTTAGCGCCAGTTGTTGCGGCTGCTCCGTCTCGCTGTGCGGTCTCCGGCCCCGCTGTTCTCTCCGGAGCGGGCGGGAAGGGGGAGCCCGGGATGGGGTTCGCCCTGTGTACGAAGGAGACGAAGTTACCGAAAAACTCTTTGGTAACCGCTTTTCTACTGCGTGCGAGCCGGTATGGAGCTGTGCTAAGGGTTCCTTTTCTTCAGAGATAGATTTTTTTTTTTTTTTTTTCCTTTTGTTTAGGAAAATGACTACATTTCTTCATATTTTGAAGATGGAGATGACTTTGGTGCTGGCAGCGATGACAATATGGACGAAGCAACATATTAGCTGCTGTTGCTAGGTGGTGCACTCCTCAAGCCTTACACTACTTGAAGTGTGATTCTGGAGGTAGGCTGAGCATCAACAGAACTAATGCTTGAGCTCTGTGGGTTTTAAGTATACTCCCCAAAAACTGTTGGGACAGTTCTTTTGAAGTGACCTATGCTGTAAAACAGAGTAGGGGATCTTTCTTTTTTGTTCTTTTGCCAGGTGTTTTGCAGACACGCACCTTTTGAAGGTTCTCTGGAATGCCTCATGATGGATTGAGCTATATGCCTCTGTATTGCCTCTGCACAGAAAAAAGAATGTATGCATTTTAATTGAAATTGTGCCTAAGCATTTGCACTAGTCAGTACTATACTTTAGCAGTCGAATCTTGAAAATAATAGTGAAATTCTTGACTGCAGCAAAAAAAAAGATAATGGCCTTTATGGACATAAGCTGCCCGTATTTGGCAGCTGATTTATGTAACTCCTGAAGGGATTTATGTAACTTCTGAATTCAGGTGACTGAAAATAATCAACCACTAAGCACTTTAATACAAACTGACTTGAAAGGACCTTAGTAATATGGACAAACAACATAATGAGAGTATTTTGATAAGCTATTACTCTAGTTAAAATAACATTATTTTTAGTATTTTGGCAAGAAGGGACTGTAATATTTAACAATGTGTTACATTAGCTTTATAAATCAGTGTAAGTAAGGATAATTTCATTTAGAAAGAATATATGGCAGAATTTAAGGTTGAGAAATTATGGAATCCTGGTTTTCACCGGTGGCACACAGATTAGGGACAAGAATTTCAGTCCTGCACCTCAGTTTCTCTGCCTCTTAAGGTGATACCAACTCTCCTACCTCACAGAGCTGTTAAGTGAGATGGTGGGTGATAGCTATCCATGTAATTGTTAATGCTTTTACTTTCCTACAGAACAAAAAAGACTGAAACTTAAGAGACAGCAAATCAATACAAAAAACCCAAAATATGTAGGAAAGGATGCGGTGAAGTATTTTGATGCATGAAGTTTTAAGAACCGACAGCTGTATTGTAGAAACCTTATTCCTGGGATTAGAAACTTGAAGAAATGACAGAGCATTCTCTGTTTCCCATTGTCCTTTGACGACATAAAATATCGATCAGTGTTATTTTAGTGTTACTATATTACCATTGATCAAGGCTAATCATTTGTGGTTTTTTTTTTTTACTTTTTAAAAACATTCTGTTAGTGCTGTTATCAGATCTAATGAAAGAACAGTTTTAAAACAAAACCAATTATTTTATCAGCAACAGAAAGTACGGAAGTTTTCCTTGTAAGTTTGGCATTTTGTCAAGCAGTACTTTACCTCACAGCTGACTGGAAAACAGTACTGCATTATTCTGTGAACTTCTGTGTGCAGTAAGAACTTGTTCCTTAATGTGTAGCTTTCAAGTGTTCTGATAAAATTCATATCAGATGTAAAGGAAATGAAACTAAATTGCTAAGCAGGTCACACCTCAGAGGTATACCAATTTTATTTTGAAGTGTTCACAGCTACATAATGTTTAATAAACATTTCTGGTGCATTGCATAGGAACTGTATTCTGTCTGATCATTTTCTTTTAACATCACAAGTGCCAGCAGCTGTTTCCTGAACAGGTGTGCCTGTCTCTTGCATGCGACATACAGGAGATGGACAGATGTTGTGAACAAGGTAAGCCTGGCCAAAATTAAATTTGCTTCCCTCAAGTGTAACCAGCGTTACCTTCTACGAGCTGTTTCCCTCTGTGCAAGGTAAAGGAGACTCCTTGCCTCTCACACAGGGAAGGCAAATAGATAAGCTTTTGTCAGAATTAACACTGGAAAAGCATTACTGCCCGAATTACAGTTTAGCCACAAGCCCTGGCTTGCCTGAACTGGCACAATACCTTATTTTGTAGCAGACACTAATTTTGGGGGACCGATAACTTCCTTCATTCATCATGCTGCTAGTGGGAGAGACAACTGCCTCCCTGCTGTACTGCTGACAAATGCTATCCTGGCAGAAATCAGGTCTTTTTGAGACCTTTAAAAGGTGAACTACAGTCACCTCTGTCCTTCAGAGGGAACTGCTGAGTTTTAGGATGAATTAGTTTAATGGTGGCAAGTCAGTCCAACTGTTAGACACACAAGTTCTGCAGTGATACAGCTCTCTGCCAAGGCACTTCTGAAATGAGATGAGATTGTGCTGTTCCAGATGCATAACGCTTGCAGATGTTCTTATAAGCTGATTTTCTTGTTGCTTAGAATTTATTGCAAGACCATAATGCTAATAAAACTTAAGCCATTCTTTGGGTCTCAGCAAACTTCAGATTTGCACAGGCACATGCAAGCAGGTTTTAATAGCACAGAAGGAACAATATTGCTACTTCATACAAGAAGGCACTGCTTCTAGTGTGTCGGGAGATCACCATCTAAGAACTTCACTGATCCCTGTATTAATTTTTTTCATGCCTGTTTCTTAATCCTCATCTTGCAGAGCTAACGAGTTCTCAGAACTTTATGCAGAAGAGTTCCAAGTTCTACAAGGCAAGCACAGGATAAACCATTAAGGCTCCAGTTATGGTATGCTAGATATATGAATGCTATATGCAGCTACTGCCAACTAAATGATTGCTGGCCAAGGATTTTTATTTTAGATCATACATAAAAAAACTAGCCAAAATAAATACAAGTCGTGGCCTCCTGTAATAAAACATGCAAAGTATATACAGCTAAGAATACATTGTATGCACCACTTCCACTGCAGTCTAAAATAAAAATCTTTATTTTATGTATATTACTTATGTTCTTCTAAAAGCAGAGGAGCAGAAGTATTTAAAATAAGACTTGCATCCTCATTCAGGATTATTTTTAAAAGTTGTCTTTTCAGCCTTTATAAACTAATTATACAAAGACTATTTGTAACAACATACTCCAAAATATAGCAGATTTAAAGCATGTACATTTTACATGATCTAACAGTGCAATATGCACTTAAATTTAAAACCAACTTCCTGATCAACAATGTGTTGTAATTAATCTAAAACATGATTTAAAACACAATTTACCAGTCAGCTGTTCTGTTGTTTTGCTTTTAAACAAGTCGGTTTCTAAAATGCTAACTTCAGAGATTTTAACTTAAATCAGATTAAAGTTCCATACAGAGCAGTTACCCCATTTATTCAGGGCTGACATCTGAGGATGCATTGCCCGTTGTGTTATCCTTGGGGGAAAAAAACAGGGAAGATCCCTGCATCCTGCAGAAAGCCAAGCCAGATGATGCTTGTAGGTCACCAGTCCTGCAGTCTTGGAAAGAGACTGTCTGTGTCTTTGATAAAGTTAACCCTCTCAATTAAAAATCTGCTACATAATTAAACAGTAAAACCATGCTAGGCTCTTGGGTAGAGTTTAATATGGCTCAATAAAACAGCTCTCCCTCGGTGATTTTCTAATGACTGCTTATCTGAAGGTAAATAAAGGCTCATCACACTTGGCCACAGTAAGCCACAGGCCTTCCAGCACAACAAATAGGAGAGAACTCTTCAGCTGTGACCACCACAGGATGAAAAGCAACAGTTAACCACCAGTCTTTACTCGTACAACAGGATAGACCCTTCCTGACTGCACCAAACCACAACTGAAGTTAAGTTCACGTCTGTACCGACAGCAGTTTGATAACCATGAGTTCAGGTATGTGCAGCAAATTAGGCTTCATCACAATAGCTGATTTCATGTTCTTTGACAATTTCATTAGAAGTGAAAGGATAAAGTGTTTGAAACGCTGAGGTTTCAGAAACAGAACGAAGGGGAGAGAAGAAACAAACCAGCACATAAGCTTGCAGCAGGAAACTGAGATATTATGTACCAGGTTTCAGTCCTACATAGAAAACATTTGCCTTAATGTCCCAAAGCTGTGCTGTCTGGACTAGGGCAAGTCACCTTGTAATTTTTTTACAGCCACAGGAGCTGTATCACGTTAGCCACCATAAATTACATTGAAATGCCATTTTTCATACAGCCTTACCCAGAACTGGTAATGATGCTTGTGTTACTGGCATCTTCCTTTCACAGAAAGAACTATTTTTTTGAAAGATCTTTGAAAACAAGTGTTATAGGAAACACAGAGTTCATGCCTGTTTGCAATCCCTCTTCTTGCATGGAAACTATGAGTAGTCACACTTATCTCCACTTGATACCACTTTGACCAAAGGGTTCAAGAGCCACAGATCATAGGTCACAGATCCAACTGTACAGCACTTCCCTTCAAGCTCTGGCCTGCCTCAATTTTGGTACAATACATGAGAAGTTATCCAATTTGTGTTCATACACCTGGTGTGCCAGTGAAGCCCCAAGAATAGATGGGGCATGAGTCTCTCCTTTCAAAATTTAAGTTGATAAAGCACTTTGGAATACCTCCAGTAGTTAGGAAACATTCATCAGATTTTTTATACTGTATATACTTAATCAAGACACTCAAAGGAAAGCTTATACTAGCAGTTTAAAGAAGAGTGATATTTTTCCATTTTTCTCTTAAGTCCTATTCAAGTCAGTCATGTTGGGCTCTGGTAACAAATGGTACTTTGATGAGGGCAATAGAAATCTTACTCCACAAGGCAAATATAACAAAAAAAAAATATATAGGCAGCATCTCAGTTTTTATTTAAAAATATCTGAGTACACAAATACCACCTCCTTTCTGTAGGAAAAGTCCAGGTTTTTTTTGTTGTTGTTGTTGTTGTTTATCTTGAAGCATTTTCAGGTAGGGAAGAAAAGAGAGGGGAAAAAACAAGGTTGTTCATGAAACCTGAAGTGAAATGTTCAAGAACAGAGTGGCTGATGAACACACTTACTAGATAAAGACCGAGTCTGAAGGTGTAGCTGGTGTATGCTGCTGCAATTTTTAAGTTTCTTGCTAGCAGCCATTAACTCTCATTTGAAGTTTTCTAGGAGACTTCACGAAAAAGTTAGTGTTTGAGGTTCATGGGCACATGCCCACTAGCCTAGTCACTACCCACACAACTGCTGTCTGAAGGATCAGTTGGTCCTAAACAGAGATTAAGTGGCAGGGGGAGAAAAATCCAGTGGCATAAAGGCTAGTGAAGCTGTCACAGCAAGGTGCCCCACACCTGCACACCTTCTACACACAGCTGGCCAGAGAAGGGCACTCCAGCCCAGTCAGTTTTTGGCAGGATACCACAGAAAGGTGTGAAGTCTCAACAAGACTCTCAGTGGGACTGAGGCACAGCACCACATACACAGAAAACCAGTCACCCTGCTGCCTGTACTGGAAAGTACCAAGGAATGGGTTGTCCACAGGCACAAGATCTGAAGATTCCAGCTCTGTAAAAGTCACTTCTTTTAAAAGAAGAACTTCATAGCGGCAATTACTTATGGAATGATTGGGCTTAAAAAAAATACAACCTTACTCTTAAGATAAAATTAGGAGAACGCAGTTTTAACCGACAACTGTAAACCTGATACCAAAATGTCAAGTGTACTATGCATTCTATAAATACTTTAAGATGTTTAAAAGTTAGATATCCCCAAATGCCCATTTTAGGGCTGTAAAACGTACAGTCAGACTCCTCATGTGTTAATTCAAACTACATACTTTCAACTCATTAATTAAAAAACATACGCCTATCAAAATAGAAAAAAGTGCAAAGCTTCAGAGACAATTTTATACCTTAATTTATATCCCAATCTTGCATTGAAAATAGCCTGTCTCAGGCACATTCAGAGATTATGTGATCCACAGAAATATCCCTGTGCTGGAAGGCTGCCCGTGAAGGCAAGTGACACATCAGCCTGCATCTCCTCTGCGTCCCAGATGCGTCGTGTGTTCTGTGGTTTCCCCTCTCTCTAATGCCAGGTTAACGTGTCTACAGATAACAGTTGCCTGAGTTTCCCCCCGTCGTTAAGGCTGAAGATCTCCTTGATTATCGACGTTTATAATATTCGCTGGGTTGATCCCGTTTTCTACCTGTTTCTGGTGCGACGCCGCTGTGACAAACAAACGGGAGGATTCCATTGTGGAGTGGTGGCTGACATCTGCTTTCACTAGAACTTCGTAATACAGGAGATAAAAAACCGGAGTCACTATGCCAATAATCAACATGATGACTACAGCTGTCCACCATCCTATCCCCCAATCCGCTCCGTAGTAAGGATCCTTGCTTTTTTTAGTTTTACCGTCGGTTTCGAAGGAGATCTGTTGGGCTGCTAAGGCAGAAACCACCTCGTTCAGGTTCTCCCGCTTCGTATCGTTGCACTTCACTATTTCTTCTATATCTCGATCCACTTCTTTCAGGAAGTTGCCAGCAGTCTCGTTAGCAGAGAATTTATCTGGTGGGGATGTCTCCTGCGCTGCCGGGGAGCACTGAGGGGGCCGGAGGACCGGCCGGCCTTTCGGAGAGAGGTGCGTTTCAGTCAGGACACTGAACTTCTTCACTGGGATTTTGATAGACCTCAGGGCAAAGAAATCTTGATCGTTGATAAGATTGTTAACTCTCTTGATGTCTGCCACCTAAAAATAAATTAAAAAAAACCAAGCCGTTTAAATATCAAAGCCCCACTGAACCAAAAGTCTTAAATAAGAGTACTACAAGGCTGAAAAACGCAATTCTTCCCCAATAAAACAAGGGCAGGGCCTTTTGTGTTTGTGGGTTTCTTTTTTGTTTGTTTTTTGTTTCTTTTTAAACTGATACCCATTCAAACGGAGAGGAGGTCAAAGGCCAAATCAGAACAATGTTAAAGCAAAAAGGCAATTATGGGGTAACAAACCTCCTCACTCTGGGTTAGAAAACTGAAAGTCACTGGGGCATATATATTAACTAAATGTATATTCATCATATTGCTGGCAACTCTGTGAAATGAATGGGACTTGACCTCAGTATTTTCAAATGAATTAAGTTACTGTGAGTTCCTAATTAAACTGAAAACTTTTGAGTAAGGAGTATTAAACATTATGAGCTTCCAATTCATCTACCTGCAGCTGGATACTCTTTTCTGCTTCACAGGGCAAAGGCAGGAACCGAGCGTCACTTAAAACTCATCTTTCCTCGAGTCAGCTCTCCCCTTTTCCTGCTCTTGCTCAAAACAAATCTCACTTTCCCCTCGGGAAATTCAGATTTCCAGTCTTAACAGGAAATACTCTGCGAGGATTTAAGTGCCCCTGGGAGAATTCACGGCTTCGTAACTCCCTCAACACGGGAGGCACAGCCACAAACCTCACCCTAATAAAGTACTTAAAAACGGGTACTCCTCCACGTTCTCCACAGATTTCCAAGAAAGAGAGCAAGCGAGTTACGTTTTATTTCTTGTTTGAGGCCTGATGTGTTAAGCCTGCTCCAAATACCTAATTGCAGTGGGTTTCCGAAGCCAAGAATCGCTTAAAAAGGCTCAAGGTCTGTTGTGATTATTAAACAGTTACATCAAGACGTTGGTACCTAAGCACACAACAGGGGGCCCCTAATTCCGTTTCTGCCTGAGGAATCAGACGACGGGGAGACTTCTGTAAATAGGGATTTTAGATTTTTTTACCAAATCCGACCTCTGGAAAGCGGCCGTGAGTCCGCAAACAGGCACAGCTGATTTCCCGGCAAGGCAAAGACTGACACCCGCCCAGACGGAAGCCTTAATTAGTGCTGGCCAGCCAAAAGCGCTGGGGTAGGAAAGCCGTTCGCTAATTAAACTAATTACAGAACTCCTAGCTAGGAGAGAGAGAGCGGCTTGGGCACCCGGAGGGAGCAATGGGGGCACGGCAGGGAGCCCCCCGTGGGATGCAAACCTGTTCCCGCTGATAAATATTGAGCCAAATTAACCCATTTTGGGGGGGGGTTACTCCCCCCTCCCTTAATGAGGCGAGGGCCCACGCGTGGCCCCGCACGACCGCGACTTTCATGGCCACCCGCAGCCTGCGGGACACGGCGCCGCAAGCCAAACCAGGGGTTAATTCACGGCTGGGGTGTTTTTTGGGGTGAAAAAGCCGGGGGTAGCGGACTCACCGAGCAGCAGTACTGCAGCGCGATGGCGTTCAGCGTGTCCCCCTCCCGGATATCCCTGGCCAGCAGCACGATGTCATCCAGCCTGTCCCTCGACGCGCTCCTCCGCACCTTCTCCCTGCCCCTCGGCCGCAGCTCCGGCCCCTCGCCTTCCTCCTCCGGCCCCTCACCCTCCATCGGGTACAGGTGACCGCCGGCGGGCGGCTGCGCTACGGCCGGCGGCAGCAGGCCTCTGCCGGCCATTCTCTGCGGACCGAACGAACGAACCGGTCTCCGCGCTGGGGATCGCCACGCCGGATCCCTCCCCTCCGCTGAGGGGAGCGCCCGGCCCGGCCCGGCCCGGCCCCGCCGCCTCCTCCTCCTTCCCCCCCACCCCCGCCCCGTTGCGGCCTTACCTGCCGCTTCTCCTCATGGCCGCCGCAATGGCGGCCGCCCCGCCACGTCCACAGGGCGGCGCCGCCCGCCCTTAAAGGGCCCGCGCGCCGCCGGGGCCCGCCGCCTCATGAGGGGAGGGTTGTGAGGGAGGAGGGGAGCCGCTTCACCGCCGTGGCTCCCTCCGGTCTTTTCCCCGCCTGTGCGACCGCGGAGGGGAAGAGGAAAGGAGGGGAGGTGCCCCGGAGCTGGCGGTGAGGGAAGCCATCCCCTCAGCGGCGGGCACCGGGCAGCCCCCGGCCGCCCGCCCGCCTGTGGCCCTGAGGCGCCGGGGTGGGCTGAGGCGGGAGGGAGGCGGCGTGTTGGGAGCGGGTGGGCACGCGTAGAGCCGCCTTTCCGTTTTTATTTTTAAATCCTTCATCCAGAGAAGAGTGACGGAGCTGGTGAGGGGTCTGGAGAGTAAGTCTGATGAGGAGAGGCTGAGGGAGCTGGGGATGTTCAGTCCGGAGAAAAGGAGGCTGAGGGGAGGCCTTATGGCGGTCTATAACTACCTGAAGGGAGGTGTAGAGAGGCGGGGGTTGGTCTCCTCTCCCAAGTCACAGGAGAAACGGCCTCAAGTTGTGCCAGGGGAGGTTTAGATTGGATATTAGGAACAATTTCTTCATGGAAGGGGTTATCCAGCATTGGAATAGGCTACCTAGGGAAGTGGTTGAGGCACCATCCCTGGAGGTGTCCAAAAGACAGGTTGACTTGGTCCTCAGGAATATGGTTTAGTGGTGTTGAGGGGTTTTTTGTTTATTTGTTTGTTTGTTTTGTTTTTTGTTTTTTTTTTTTTTGTCAGAGTTAGGTTGATGGTTGGGCTGGATGATCTTTAAGGTCCGTTCCAACCTAGACGATTCTATGATTCTCCTTACTGACCCCGTCTTTCAGCTACGAAGCCACCCTGTGTCAGGTTGTTCTTCCCAGAGTCGTTTTTTTCCCCTCTAGCACTTCACAGCGCCTCGTCAAAGCACAGAGCCTTCCTTTTTTTTTTTTGTTTGTTTTTTTTTTTGTTTTTTTTTTTTTTGTCAGAGTTAGGTTGATGGTTGGGCTGGATGATCTTTAAGGTCCGTTCCAACCTAGACGATTCTATGATTCTCCTTACTGACCCCGTCTTTCAGCTACGAAGCCACCCTGTGTCAGGTTGTTCTTCCCAGAGTCGTTTTTTTCCCCTCTAGCACTTCACAGCGCCTCGTCAAAGCACAGAGCCTTCCAGTCCTGCCTGGCTCCTGCTGCATTGCTGCTCACTCAGAACTTTTTAGAGCCACAGAAGTTGGTTGCTCCAAGCCCCCTCCAACCTGGCCTTGAACCCCTCCAGGGATGGGGCAGCCACAGCTTCTCTGGGCAACCTGGGCCAGGCTCTCACCACCCTCACACCAAAGAAGTTCTTCCCCACATCTCACCTCCATCTCCCCTCTTTCAGGATCAAACCCTTCCCCCCTATGGCTCTGCTCCCTGATCCAGAGTCCCTCCCCATCTCTCCTGGAGCCCCTTTAGGGACTGGAAGGGGCTCTGAGGTCTCCCCGCACCCTTCTCTTCTCCAGGCTGAACCCCCACCCAGCTCTCTCAACCCCAACAGCAGAGGGGCTCCAGCTCTCCCAACATCTCCGTGGCCTTCTCTGGACCCTCCCCAACAGCTCCATGTCACTTTTATCCCTTCGTGCCTTTTCTCTCTCCTCAGGACTAGGGCTGCAGAGGTTACAGGTATTCAGCCCGTGCAAATGTATTTCGTCACAAGAGAGAAACCATTAAGTAAGCCCTGTAGGTGTTTTCAATTTCCCTAATAAAGTCATTTTCACTATTAAAAACTGTCCGCAGCTGTTGCAGTTGCTGCGGCAGTAAGCAGTAATAGGAAGACTTCCTAGTCTAACTACTAAATTTAAGCTAGTGGGTTTCTTCTGACGTGGCCTTAGAAGGAAGTTTTTGGTTACAGCATGAGCAAATACAATATTTCTTACAAAAGCTGACAGCTCTAAGGTTAGGCTGAATATGCTGTAACAAATGATTGCATTGTTGCTGAAGACAAATGCAGTGGCAAGTTGTAGTTCCTCAACAGATTAAATCTAATCTTAAAAAAAGAAAGTAATTTTAAAGAAGGTGTTTTTTTTGCCGTTTGTTTTCGAGTTTTGTGATGTGATGTTCTCAGACTTTACTGAACAACCAAAGAGGTTAGAGTTGTGTTTGGTATTAACAAAGGCAGAATTTTTTTATTACTTTAGTTTTGAAAACTAAATGACCTGAGTCTGAAGACATAAATGTAAGAGCTAACAGTTGTGTAGCTCTGTTGAGTGAGACGCTTCACACCCACAAAAGCTGACAGAGTGAAGCCACGTTTCCAGGCATTGTAAAATAAGCTATCAAGGTGCAGTGTGTTCTTGTCTCCCGGCTTTATTTTAAAGAGTAGATATATATATATTTCAGTATCTACCTTAAAATAGTGCTCTATGCAAATGAGGGATGGATTGGGTAAAATTAAAGGATTCCTGAGGCTTTCTAGGTATTCCCTATACAGGAAAAGCTATATATTTCAGCATAGGTGTTCTGTCAAGAGCAGAGATGTTCTATGTTGTAAGTAAGAGGAGGTTTACATGAAAAAATACATATATTCTTGGGTGTGGAAGTAAGCATAAAAAATGAGCTGGCCCGATTCGACAGGTCTGATTGCTGCCCTTTGCGGAGAAGGATGGAACAGACTAACATTTAGGCAGGATTTCCTTGCAGCAGGAAGCTGGGCACAGTTAGTAGGAGCTAATTTTCAGGCTTTCTTGTCCTCTGTTTGTTAAAATATCGCTGTAGGTGCCAACCGCAATTGGAATCCCCTCAAACCAAAGTCTCTTACACATCAGGAGACTGTTTCTAAACCATTTGGGAGCCTAACTAAGGGTATGTTCTTCTCCTTGGAGTACTCTGTAGTGTCTTCCCCGTCAAAGCCTGCTCAGAAATAAGCCTTCTATTTTTACCATGGGTCAGATGCACAGCTTGAGCTAATTAACGTAGCCGCGCTGAGGGCCTGAGACACAGCCTTGAGCAGACCCGGTGGTATGACAAAGAGGAGCCTGGGTTGTCAGGTTGGGTGACAAACGTGTGAACATCAACATCTTGGGGTCCCAGGAATGATTTCATGTGTTTTGGGGGGTGGAAAAACACAAGTAGGCTTGGACCTTCCACCACCTGCATTTCCAGCAGGAGCTGAGTAGCGAAGGTGACAAAACCGAACTCATTCCCCATAAACCCTGAGTTTTCTCCTGGGATCTCAAGTTTTGGAGAAGTGGCTATAACTTGAGTGAGTGAGCATTCTGTCCCTTAAGAGGTGTCGGGCCACATCTGGCAGAGAGTCTCTGCCTCGCCAACCAGTTTTGTGTTGGTTTTTAAAGGAAGCCTTCAGCAATAGAGGGCGAAGGGACTGCAGTTGTCTGTGGCTGGGAAACGGATGACTCAGACCCTATTCATGCTGTTGAAAGACTGTTTTATGAGACCCGTCAGAGCCGTGGGTGGACCTGGAGAGGAGTTTGAAGGCAGGCTTCATACACACAGCGATGTCTGGTGATTGTCCCATCATACACCACTACTGGCATATCCTTTTGGAGGTTTTCTTTAATTCTTTGGGTGGTGAGGCGGCAGGAGAGGGTCAGGGCAGGGAATTTCCACCGTTTCTTTTATCTGAGGAGGTGTACCATCAGGTCAAAAAAAAGAACTGCTGAAACAGCATTCTGCCTTAGAGGGGGGAAAGAAAGTATGGGAGTTTGCTTTGACCCCGCTACACCCCTGTGTGTAACCATTTGTAACTAGTGACATTTTCCCATCAATAACAAAAGGGTATATTCCAAACTTGATGAACAAGACTGTAGCTGCAGAGCTCCCATGAATGCTAATGGGAGTACAGCCTTTCTCCGTCCCCCTGTAAGTTACTTTGCATATCCTAATAGCGCATTCTCAATGAGCAACAGGGTCAGTGTTAATCACCCCATGGCATTCCCAGAGCCACTGCAGGGAACTCTACCATAGTCCCCTTGGTCATGGTGTATCTAGTGTGGCTTGGTCGGAGCTTGGGAGTTAAGCATACACATAGGAATATTAAAAAAAGATCTTAAGGAATTAATAGAGAGGAACTGTAAAGGAGATGTTGGAGGGCTGATACAACTTGTTAGTCGTTTTTAATTGGAAAAAAAAAAAAATTCTTTCTGTCTGGAAATTACATACATGTCATGTGCCACTGCTGTCTTTGTTAGTCTTCAAGTCATTCTACGATTCAGGACCACAGGGCTAGATTTACATTTAGCTAGCTAATCCCAAGTATCTAAATGTATGTCTTTAATAGCTTGAATGACATGGTAATGACTCATTAAACAATTAACGCAGAAATAAATATACAGCCTTTGTCTGCCTCTGCTTCACTGCTCAGTACTTGGGAATGATACTAACATGGTGGGGAATAGTAATATCAAGGCAGATCTGCAGCTCCAATGGAGTCCAAACGAAGTGTGATGTTATCAAGCAGTGTCTAACTGTACGGTGCAGTAAGAGGAGTTGTCTAAGAACTGTAAAAGTGCAAGCAAATAATGCTTGGAAGTGGAAACAAATAACGCTAAATCTGCAGACACTTGCAGAGTAGTCTCTTCTCCAGTGGAAATATTAGCATGCATACATTTAACTTTAATTATAATCTGGGCCTCGATTCTCAAAATAAGCAGAAACCCTTTTTAGTTAGCAAGGTTCCAACAATTCCTCTCTAAAATTGGTTAAAACTGGCCTCAAAATTAAATTGTTTAATTTAGTATTGTTATGGTTTTAATGAGAATAAATTAAAATTTATCCTTGCGGTGAGGCTGTTATTTCCTGATTTCATATTTCATGCATTTGCTGCTTCCTTTGAGTTCCTTAATGTCAACTTGTTACTTTTTAGTTAATTTTATTTAAATTTAGTATGTATTCATAATAAAACTATGCAGTGTACCTTCCGTAACACAGCCAGCAGGGTGCATTGGTTTTTTGATATTTAGTTTTCAAAAATTTATAAAGAATTGCATATTTGCTTCTGATTTACATTGTACTTCGTTTTTTTCAGGTGTCCTCTGAATAAGAAAATCCACCAGTGAAACCATTCAGTTACGGTAAAAACAGTAGGCAAAAATGGAGTATAGTCTCTTGAAAATTCATTTCAAATGACTTGTGGACAGATTTTGCTATAAGATTCTGAATTCCTACTTGAATACCTGTGTTGATTAATAAGAGTTTCTGTGGTGTGATGACTGGAGACCTTGTTTTTTTAAAGATTGTCATTGATTCCTTCTAATTTTAGCTGGATGAATCTGCAGTTAAGGCCAGGAATAGCTGTTACTTTTTAAATATGGTTTCCCGGAGTAAAGAACCCTTTCAGTGCTCATCTTTTTTTTTTTTTCTCTGAGAGAATTTTTGAACTGTAGTCAAGCCCTTCCCTCTTCTATTTTTATTTTTTTTTTTAACGAGTTAAACATTCAGAGCTTGTTAACTTTTGCTCTCTGCTTTCTCTAGCTGTCAGGTTTGGGGGATTTTGTTTGTTTGCATCCTCTGTTGGTTTCAGCACTGTTTTTAAAATGCAGACACCAGAACTTTATGCAGTTTCAAATGTCCACCCCATTAGTGCTACACGTAAAGGTAAATGATTCTCCCACCCCAGCTGCTTGTCACTAATCTACTGTTGATATATCTGAAGACCACACTAACTTCGTTTTGTTTTCCCAGTCACAGCATCAGATTGGACACTTACGGTGAGCTGCTTTGCTGCCAGAGTTTCTTCAGATGAAAATGATCCAGAAGACGATTTTTAGGTATAACCTATATTTTAGCTTTGAAGGTATTCAGCAGTATTAAGGTGACTTGTTTTATGGAACCAGCTTGCCAGGTGAGCCATATCCTCTCATTTCCTTTCTGCTAATACTGCCGTTGCAAACATCCAGTTGTGATTTTTGGATTTAGAGGGAAAGCAATCTTGAGGGGCAGCAGATCTATTTGTAACCCTTGTTGAACTACATGATGGAACTATTTTCATTTCTTAATAATGAAATTTATATTTTGTTCATAATCTCTTACTGGAGAATGCTTTTTGAGATCTACCAGCTAGTTTTTCATCCATTTTCCAGCATTGCACTGCCTACTACATTACACTCTGTCTTTACTATATGATAATGTGATTAAAAAGTAGGTCCTCCAACTATTCCGTTCTTTTATACCGGCACAATTACTGTCTATCAAATTTATAATCTTTCAGAATTAAACCACATTGCGCTGTTTGTTTAAGAACATATATTTATTCCGTTCATTTCTTTTACCTCTTTATAAGAGGAATTCCACATCAGCCTTTGCATTATTTTGTCTAGGTTTGTTGTCAGGCTGCATTTATAATCTTAACTTCCTTTTGTATCTTTGGAATTGATTGTTAACGGGTTAATATGGTTAATAAACTTCTCATTGTCTTGCCAACCCAGTGGTTTTCCCTCATGTCTTCAATCTGCTATAATTTATACAGTGTAATTTAAAATGTCTGTTCTCTAGTTCCCCTTTCCGTAACCGTATACTGGTTTATTTTTTATTTTATTTCTGGTTGAATTTTTATTATACTATTGCACCAAGATGCATGCTTATCCAAGCTTTTTCTTGATTGTAGGATACTGGCTTTGTGTCATTCTAGTAAACTTTTCTTCTTAATTTTGGAAAGACAAAGCTCAAGGGTTTATATAGTTGTTCTCCCCCTCCACCCCAGGAAGAAGTTGAATGTTATATGGTATTTTCTTAAGCATTGGGATTTCAACTGTGTCAGGGGCTTTCTTTGGTAGTGATAATTTGCCCTTATTGGTGCCACTGCTGTGTAGCTGTGGTTGCATCTTCATTGACACAGACCTCTCCTCGGTTACAAGTCCACCGGTTCACAGGTTTTTGCTGTGGGTGTATTCTGTGTTGGTACATTGCTACCCACAGCTACAACTGAGGAAAACTTTTACCTGGCAATAAAAATGTCCTTGGATGTCATCCTGATGGGTGGGAAGGTGCCAGTCCACAGGGCCCATGCACCCCTGTCAACTGTGCAGCCTCTTCTTCCACCCTTCTGCTGTTTTTCGTGCCCAAAAAGAGGTCTGTTACAGGCAAGTGAGTTTTCTGGAATATCCTAGAATAACTTCCTTTGTTTTAAACTCCTTATGGCTGGCATAGCAGGGTGTGCTGAACAGCATTTACAAAAGGGAGAGGGAATAGGAGAAAGGAGCAGGAGCAGGGAGAATATCTCATGGTGAAGGATTTGATTCAGAGTCCTGAAAAGCTCTAATATCAGAGCAGGGATGGCTTTCATTTAGCCCACTATATCACTAAGTATTTCAGCTATGTATTTAAGGTGCCTTCAGTTTTCACTCATAGCAGCATGCAAGTGTAAATTAAACTGTTGAATTAGTAACTTCTGCTCCTTATATTAGCAATGGTTCTGTAATTGTAAACATCTTGCTATGCTTTCTTTCAAATTTTCAGTATAAAGTAGATTAAAAAAATGAAAAAAATTATCAGGTACCACGGCTATCTGTAATCTAGAATATTTGTCAGTTTTGAGCTTAAGAAATTGTTCTTCATTCAAAACATGCTGGTTTCAGGTTTGCCTTTATCTTTGTCATTTTTACATAACTGTAGCATATTTTAACAAATATCAAAGTCCTTGTAAAATAAAGCATCCTGTTCAACTTTTTAAAGCATTGAAAGTACGATTAAAAATGTCCAGTTTATGACACAAATAAGAGAGTGATCTAGCAGACATAGAAACTCTTTGACGGGAGCATTTTCATGAATTTTAAAACAGATTCCCTCCACCCCTGTTTTCTTACAACTTTTGTCTTTCTGCTCAATTCAGCTTCTATACAGAATGTGTCAGAAACCTTTAAGTTCTTTCAATGAGTATCAGGCATGTTAATGCAAATACATTAGGAGTAATCCCTCCGCAAGGAGAGACAGTAACACAGCCCACACGACGTCAGTAAAGTGTTTACAAGGTATTAATATGCCTACTGTGACAAGATGTATTTAATGGGAAGCAGCGAGGAATTTGTTTTATTAGTTTTCCTCCACCCTCAAGTAATAAATCTTAAAAGCTTCAATATTGATTCAATGAAATGAATGGCCGAGTCGTTCTGGAGAGGCTCTGACAAGAGGACAAATGCTTCCATGGTTACTTTGTGCTATGCAGCGCGGTTACTGAGCTTTGTTGGTTTCCTCCCTCTGCCATTGAAGTAAAATAACAAACCACAGGGAAGCACCACACATGGTGGGCATACACTGGAAACAACTTTAGAAGATCAAGTTAGCTGATCTTATACAGATTTTAAACAATATGGGGTTTATAGATTCGTACAGTATACCCTAAACATGCATTTCTCTACTTTCTCCTTCTTCTGTCACTTTCTCGTGGAGCATTTTTGTTTCTTGTCTTGAACCTTCTCTCGCTTTTGATTTGCAATGCCATAAAATAAAAGGCTATGTAAGACTGTGTTTCATGGGTTAGGTTTCTCCAGGAATATTTTTATATCCAGTGATGTTACTGCATCAACACAGGCTTCTGCTATACCTAGATAATGAATGACAAATTGTGTATAGAACTTTTATGCACAGTTGTTTTAGGGTGCTTCGCAGAGTAACATAATTAAGTGGTTTGATTTTTCCATTTCCTTGCATCTCGTGTACTCAAATTTCAGATGTCACAGGGAAGAGGGAGATAATAAACATGTAACTTCATAGATGTCACATTTAAAAAAATAATAATAAAAAATAATGGCATACAGTTATTTCATTAGCTCTAAAATGTTGCAGATCAAGCACCACATTAAGAGAAGGAATCCTGAAGGCCTTAGATTTTGTTCAGGACGAAGTATAAATGGAACTGAAAGCAGATGTATTGAGAGTGTCTTCTTCCCTTGCAGACCAACTCTGAAAAAAGTGTGTTTTGTCTTCTGCATTAGCAGCTGCTAGGCTTTTTCTCTCTACACCCTTGAGGTTCCCCAGGACCACTATCTCAGCATCAGAATTCTGAGATGTTCAAGTACCTCTTTAGTAGGCACAATTTTACACCAAGGATGGATGCCAAGATTCCCCACAGCCAGGAAAATAAATTCATGAACATGGAGGATAGCTACTTCTGAGACAAATTCTGGCCTTACAGCTTTCCATTGGAAACTTAGGTATGTTGCGGGTGCTTAATTTCACATTTACTCAAGTGAAATCTCTGATGTCAAGGGAGAAAAGTAAGCAAAAAATGAGTAAGCGCTTCAAGGTTTCGCTTAAAGAATTTCAGCAAAGAGAAGAATTGACTCTTAAATTCAAACACAGAAGTTATTTGTGTTTCTAAGTAGTTTTTTTCCTTGTCAAAAAGGAAGAAAATGAAATACCTATCTGTGAATTGGGAAAGCAGGTGAAGTTGTGTGCAGCAGCTGGAACCCTTTTGCTATTATCTTTACTAATCTGAAATACTTTTTGAGGACTTGGAAATTAACAGCAACCTAGATGCAAGACAATATGGAGAGTTTTTAATATTTTCATTATGTTCTGCCTTCAGAAACGTGGCACTTCTGGTAAGTGGACTTTTTGAATTTATAGTCTAGTGCCTGACATGCTCTGAAGTGGTGTTTTTTGGTGGCCGTTTTCTGATTTGCTGCGTACTCTCTACATTGTTGGTGACGTGCCACAAATGAAGAGCTGGACACACTTGGTTGGAAGGAACAAGACTGCAACTTGATTTAGCAACAATAACTGCACCAGAGGAGCAGGCAGACAGTTCTTGCCAAGTTCTCATCTTGCTGCTTCGCCGTGTGACCTACAAGCCAGAGAGCATCCACTGTGGTTTGAAAGGACCCACTGAACATTGTAAGACCAAACCATCTCTTCAGAAATGGCATTCCTTTTGTGTCATTATAATGACACAAAATGAGAGAAATTGTGTCAAAACTGCACGCTGGAGCTTGATCAACCAAATCTGACATGCAGTAAGTTGGAACAAAGAAGTTATTTTCTCATTAATTTGTTCAGTTTTTTACACTTGAACGTATTTAAATTAATGTTTTCTAAGTGTCATCTGATTTTTTTTTTGGTGAAAGTATTGTCAAATGTGTAGCTAAGTTCAGTAATGAAAAGGTTATGATTGTCTGAAAAGCATTTGTGCTGTAATGTGTTAAAATACACTACTAAAAAAATCTACTCCCATGAGTAGATGCCAAGGAACATGTACTTTGTTCCTGGTAGTAGGAATACTTCAGTTTTTTCATTTAAGAGCTCTTTTTAAATATTAACATCAGTGTGCTTTACCAGTATACAAATAAGGAGCTGTACCACAAAGAAGTTAACTTTTGCCGAGCTGATCACAGGAAGCATAAACAAATTAATGTTTGTCCATCCAAAAAAGAGCACAATGTGCTTGGAAGTTGTCATTTTTCAGTTTCTTAAAGCCTTCACATTGAAACCGCTCAAAAGGAAGCAGTCTTCGAGAAACAAGGAGTTAAAATGTAAGCTGGGTTCCTTCTTTGAATCCCCTATCTCCTAACAAGGTCGACAATACTGTTTTGCTGCTTCAAGACATCATTGTGCTGGTCTCAGGACTACTCCCTACATTCCTGCCTTCCTCTCTTGTCACTTGTCATAGCTCTGAGTAGTTGCAGGCCCCGTTTGTGGTCAGTCAGGCTACATTTGCTAGATCTCACCAAATCACGAAGGTAATAAATTGTCTGAGAGAACAGAACGAGTTGATAGGAAGGAACACCAGAACATGAAGTAGTAGCTTCAGCAATTTTAGGATGAACCAAGGTCACTCCGACCTTGCCAAGTACACCAAGAAGCTACCCAAATTAGGAAGAGTTCAGAAGTTTAACCCGAGGAAGACTCACAAGACGATCCCCCACCCTGATGAAGGCACCAGAACTCCCACCAGACGACTCCCCAAAATGGAAGACCCCGCCTATATATGAATATGCATGTAAAGATATGAATATGCATGTAAAGATGATGTAACCTACACTCAAACTTGTATAAAAAAGCTGCACTGATTGCTAACCGACGGAACTCTTTGTCCAGGGCGGCCTGGAGAGTTCCCCAACGCGTTGTTAATAAATACCTCCTGCTTATGGACTTGAAAACTTAGTCTCTGAGCAGTTTCTATTTTCTGAGCAGTTTCTATTTTCTGAAACTGCAGTTTCTATTTCGCCTTTTGGGGCAAATTCGGCATCAACATCTCTGAAAAACGGGGGATTTATCTACATCCATCTGCACATCAACCAGTTTGGCATAAAACAGTGATTCCACTGGGTCAGAAGCATAATATTCAGATTTTGTCAGTCTGCTCAGACACTGAGTACTGTTTGTATT